AGCAGCAGTTTAATTTTCATAGCTCTTGCAGCAACGATAGCAGCAGCAGCAACAATACCAGCAGCAGCAGCAACAGCAATACCAGCAGCAGCAGTAACAGCAATACTAGCAGCAGCAGCAGCAGCAACGCTAGCAGCAGCAGCAGCAGCAGCAACAGCAATACTAGCAGCAGCAGCAGCAGCAGCAACAGCAATACTAGCAGCAGCAGCAGCAGCAGCAACAGCAATACTAGCAGCAGCAGCAACAGCAGCGACAGCAATACTAGCAGCAGCAGCAGCAGCAGCGACAGCAATACTAGCAGCAGCAGCAGCAGCAGCAACAGAAGTGCTAGCAGCAGCAGCAACAGCAATACTAGCAGCAGCAGCAGCAGCAACAGCAATACTAGCAGCAGCAGCAACATCTCTAGCATAGAAACACCAGCAGCAGAAGCAGCAAAAGCAAAAGCAGCGATCATGAACAATTATGCGAGCAGCAGCAGCAGCAGCAGCAGCAGGAGCAACAGCAGCTGCTTCTGCTGCTGCTGCTGCTGCTGCTGCTCCTGCAGCACAGATCACGACGTCGTGCAGCACGTGCTGCTGTTGGGTAGCGTAGACACTTCGCACCTCCCAAACGGCTGCAGCAACTGCAGCAGCAACTGCAGCAGCAGCAGCAGCAGCAGCAGCAGCAACACTAGCAGCAGCAGCAGCTGCTGCTGCTGCTGCGGCAGCAGAGCCAGTAGCAGTGCTGCAGGGACCGTAGCGACAGCAGCAGAAGCAACTGCAGCAAAAGCAGCAGCAAATGTGCACTAATAAATCCAGTGTAAGCAGAGCCGAAAGCCACATACAGCAGCAGCAGCAGCAGCAGCAACAGCAGCAGCAGCAGCAACAGCAGCAGCAGCAGCAGCAAGAGAACAACCAAAATTGAGATGCCAATTCGAGCGGGGAGACAAAGACATCTCCTCTGCTGCTGTTGCTGCCTGTGCTGCAGCAGCAACAGCAACAGCAGCTGTTGCTGCTGCAGCAGCAAAACAGTAGTTGCTGCTGCAGCAGCAGCAGCAGCAGCTGCTGCTGCTGCTGCTGCTAGTCCCGTTAATGCTGCTGTCTTCGCAGCCTTTGGCGTTGCAGCAGCAGCAGCATCACCAACACTTCTTCAGTTACTGCTGCTACTGCTGCTGCTGCTGTTGCTGCTGTTGCTGCTGCTGCTGCTGCTGCTGCTGCTGCTGCTGCTGCTCACGCTTCACCCTTCTGTGGTGCTTCCCCCTCATTGACGAGGATCAGCAGCACACTGACGTTGTCCTGCAGCAAACAACAAAGTCAAACGCAGCAGCAACTGCAGCAGCAGCAGCTGCAGCAGCAGCAGCTGTAGCAGCAGCAACTGCAGCAGTAGCAACTGGAGCAGTAGCAACTGCAGCAGCAGCAGCTGTAGCAGCTGCTGCAGCTGCAGCAACTGTAGCAGCAGCAAGTGTAGCAACAGCAACTGCAGCAGCAGCAAGTGCAGCAGCAGCAACTGCAGCAGCAGAAAGTGCAACCGCAGCAGCAGCAGCTGCAGCAGAAACAGCAGCAACAGCAACAGCAGCAGCAGCAGTACCTGTGCCTTTCGATCGACAAGGACGAAGTCTACCTGCGGCAGCACATCGTCGCAGCAAACAGCAGCAGCAGCAGCAGCAGCAGCAACAGCAGCAGCAGCAGCAGCAGCAACAGCAGCAGCAGCAGAAATTTATTTATTTATTTATTTTATTTTCTTTATTACGATTTATTTATATGCGATAAGCAGCAGCAACAATAATAGTAACGCCAAAGGCAAGCAGCAGCAACTATGCAGCAGTTGCTGCTGCAGGAGCAGCAGCAGCAGCAGCAGCAGCAGCAACAGCAGCAACGCCACCGACAGCAGTAGCAGCAGCAGCAGTAGCAACGGCAGCAGCAACAGCAGCAACGGCAGCAGCAGCAGCAGCAACAGCAGCAGCAGCAGCAGCAGCAACAGCAGCAGCAGCTCACGAGCTGGCGGCAAACTGCTGAGAGGTCGAATGGCCGCGAGTTCACCTTCGATGATCTCCTCTCCTGCAGCAGCAGCAGCAGCAGCAGCAGCAGCAGCAGCAACAGGCAGATGCAGCAACAGCAACAGCAGCAGCAGCAGTAGCAGCAGCAGGCAGATGCAGCACCAGCAGGCAGTTGTAGCAACAGCAGCAGCAGGGAGATGCAGCAGCAGCAGCAGCAACAACAGCAGCAAGAAAAACAACAGCAGCCCCCCCTCACCCCCCCTCATCCACC